AACTTATTGTATTTAATATCGAACATAGAATTATAGTGTCGGGTGAATATCGATATCTTACTGTGGATTGTGTAGACATAATTAGCTGTTCAGAAACAAAAACTAACAGGTCATTATTTTCTTCACAATTCAAATTTTTTGAAATGTTACAAATGTGATTTATGCTGCGTTGGTACGTTTGGTTTTGTTTAATAGTTGACTCGTCACTTTTGTTAACTGTTATATTATTAATGTCTTCTATTAAACTAGATAAAATGTTGATGTCGTTCAAAACAAATGGAAATTTAAATTTGTCAACCTGCAAAAAAATTTCCTGTTCAAATAAGTAAGTTTCTAATTTTAAATTTGAATTTATAGTAACTGAGTATGTGATAACCGGTCCAGGAGAATTCTCAATTTTAAATAGAATTAGTTGATTTTGTTTAGTCATTGTTTTATGCCACTCATCAGGGAGAGACCAAGAGTTGAAAATATACATAAATTGTTCAAAATCTTCAAACGTTACTGACTTCTTATACGCGTGGAAACTGTTTTTACTTTCTGGGAGAGCCTTTCGTAAATGTTCCTGTTCGAGTAATTCATTTTTTCTATCTCTACTTTGTCTACTTATTGAGTTAAATTTTGACATGTAAGAAGGACAATTGGGAATTGTATAAATTAGCGTCTTCTTGACTCTGTTCGGCCTACTTGCAGTCGAAACCGGCCTTGGTGACGTCATTGTCAGTTGGCCTTCTCATCTCGGCTGTAACGGTATACCGCATGTTGCCCGAAGAATTTTAGTAGCAATTTCGTCCCTGGACAGTGAATAAAAACTGGCAACAAACTCATCATACTCAGACGGGCAAAGTATGTTCGGCCCCGTCCTCGGGCGCCCCATCAAACTAATGATTTACGCCCGCTCCTCCCCAAACTTTCCTATATCTCGGCAACTTTCCGAAATGATAAACGTCGGTCGTAAAGCGCCTCGAACTTATGGATTTGGCGCGTTCCGAAAACGAAAAAAACCTCATTTAGTTATCTGTTTGCAGAGTGCGGACGGAGACGAATGGGGGCGCTTGGTGTCCGGCCACCCAGGCCACCCCCGACACCAACGAATTTATAGAAGTCGACCTGAAGACGGTCCACATGATCACCGCCACCGAAACGCAGGGCCGATTCGGCAATGGTCAAGGCGTCGAGTTCGCCGAAGCCTACATGCTGGAGTTTTACAGGTTAGAATCACCTCGTCCCTCTGCCGAACCGAAAAAAACTGAACGAAAATTGTTTGCTTGCAGACCTCGGCTGCAGAAATGGAAGCGGTATCGAACGAAAGCAAATGAGGAGGAGATCAAGGGAAACATCAACACCTACTTGGAGTCGAAGACCATCCTGGACCCGCCCATATGGGCAAGCAAAGTGCGCTTCCTTCCCTACAGTTCTCACATGCGAACCGTCTGCATGAGGGTGGAACTATATGGGTGCCGATGGTCGGATGGCGTGGTCAGCTACTCGATGCCTCAGGGCGACAAAAAGGGGACCAGCTGGGAGTTCTACGACTTCACCTACGACGGGCATTGGGATGGCGAAAAGCTGAAGGATGGTAAGTGTGAATTTTCAGGAGTTGGCGCAGTGCGCCAACCCAACGCATCGGCACACTTACTCACCCACGAAGTATTTTTTGTGTGTAAAGCGTAATTTAAAGTGCGGCCAGTGAGCCGCAATGGGTTATAACTCGTTAACGCACCAAGCGGCAACACCTCAAGAGCGCAACTCGACACAGTGTTACCCATCCAACCTTAACGAACTATTGCGAGGCACATTTTGAATTGAGTCTTTATAATTAAACTCAGACTCAAAAGACGGATAGCGAAATGCGTTTTTTTGTCTTAAAAAGACCGCGTTT